TTGATCTTTTTTGTCAATTAAAAAAATATACTATATAAATGAAGTACCAAGTTTTCAAAAAACTTTAGTTATATTTATTTGAATGAGACTATGAATAAGTTCTTAACGTGGAATTTTTTTCACAAAGTAAATATACTCGAATTACAGTTTTTCAAAATGATTCACTCAAAGATTATCCTGCTGGAACAAATTTTCCCCCAGTTTTAACATTTCTTCGTGAGACTTTTTTTTTAAGTATATTATTTGGTAGTAACATTGCAGCAGTTCAAAATTTATGGTTAACTTGTATTGTTGGAATTTGGCCTCAATTGCAACAAACATAATTGGATATCACTTTATGCAACATTGGGAAGAAGCAGATTTCTGATTTCTGCAGGTATAAACTGTTTAACGAGTAGTTATACCTGCAGATCAGACCTGTTTGGATAATGTTCTCAGCTACATGGTTGGATTAAACCAAACACTACTTCAGTCAGGCTGTGTGAGAGCTTTCCCTCAGGTTTCCTGGCCTCTCACTCTTCCCTCAGGTGGTGCAGGAGAGCTGTGATGCTTGTGACGCCTCACTTGTTGCTGTGGACTTCAACAAGACCCGCACTCCACTTCCTGACAACGAGACCCAACACACGGGCTGTGTTTTCTGTGATCCCATCTTCCAGGACGTGGTGGAGCTCAAACACGCCACTATGAGGCACTACATGCACCGAGGCGGGGGGGTGAGGCGAGGAGGCCGAGGACGGGGCAGGGGACGCCGTGGCAACCCTAAAAAACCCAAAGATAAAATGGCAGCTCTAGCAGCATACTTTGTGTAACAACCACAGAAAACCAAAGCACAAAGCCATATGAAGTCCTGCTTCTGGAGATAAAGATCCAATAAAATAAAGTTTACCATCCACGTTTGTTTGTCTTTGTGACGGTTGTTTGACTTCAACTAAATGTTGTCTAGAAAAATTTAAATTTTTTCAAGGTTTGCTCTTATTTAGCCGACAGGTGAAGTGATTTATTAAATTTTGAAGGTGTGTGGGTGGTCTCATCTTTGACTTGGCCCGGTGATGGACAGGTAAAGTGGAGACAAACTGCTTGAGAGAATGTGGATCTTATTTTCACACCAGTCTTCCTAAAGAACTGTTCACTAGCAGTGTGGACCTCTAGATGGACCCATCATGCCTCTCACATGGCTCAGGTGGTTAGTGGGTTTTTTTCTCCCATTTCTCCAATGCAAAGCTTATAGGACTTTCCCCCCCCCCCCACAAACCAGATTCATAGCACACCATACAGTTTGACGGGTTTAGGAAATAATAACAGAATCCAGCTGATACAACAATTTGTTTTTCATTCTTTATCGACTCAAAATTTATACATTTTGAACGTTTTGTATTCTATGAAAGGTTGCTGAGCATTTAAATCGTCTCTTTTCTGAAAATGGTCACTGCATGTAAGCGTTGTAGAATTTGACCAAACAAATCAAGACTTCAAGCACAGCCCCAGCTTTGATTCTATGGTCATGATATATTTCTGAATTTTCCTGAGATTTTTGAAGATGGGCTGAGATAAATTATTATCCAGAATATTTTCATTTCTTGTGCAGTTACGCTGTTAACAAAAATCCATTTTATTTTATTTTTATTAAAATTATCAACAGTAACACCGTTCGTACATACAATGTGTTCTTTGTTCAATAAATTTTTTCATGTAAAATAGCTATAGATCTTGGTTCTTGGCGTTCAGACACAGAGGGAAGAAAAAGTAGCCAATTTCCCAAAAATGTCCCTTCAATGGAAAAGATCTTTTAAGGTGAAGCTGCTGATGCACTACACCAATCTGACTTTGTGATAAAAGCAACTTGATTTTTTTCTCAAAATACATTTTACAAAGGGCCACAAATGCCTGTCACATAAACCCAAAACTCTCAAGCATGTTGGCGGAAGCATCATACTGAAGGGATGCCTTTTTGTGGTGGGGTCTTGGTGACTAGTTCCAGGGGAAAGGATAACCAAACTCCAGACTGCTAACGTGAACTATTCTGCTCATAGCAGGACACTGTCATAAACCTGTTGAAGACATTGACATAATGTCGTTTTGATTGTTACCCACACTTCTTTAATTGTTTTATTATTTCATAATTTTGTAGTGAAATAATATTTTTGTAATTTCTTAATACATTTCAGCCAATCAGAATTTATGCTGTGTTGAGTGTAATGAATAAGGACTGCATAAGACTAAACATTTGATCCAGTTATTGTAGCAGAAATGGGGAGAAGGAATTAAGTGATTCAGTGAGTGATCCAGGAATCGGCCATTACACAAAACTATTCGTTTCTTTAGAGCCAGTAAGTTCTCTACTAACTTTAGCATTCAGTTGTTGCTCCTATTTAGTTTTGAACCACAGTGATTCCACTTTCAGGCACCAAAGATGAATACTAAATAGAACTTATCCAAATTGTGTAACTGGAGTGGAGGCGAATTGTCAGAGGATTTTATTTTAAAAAAAATTTCAACTGAACAACTTGTGACTAAAGTACTTCCTGGATCCTGACTAGCAGAGTCTAGATATTTCTTGTCACCCAGAAATACTTGTCATGTTATCTCTGTCCTGCAGTGTCACATAATAAATAATAATAAAGCAATTTTTTTTATTTGTACCTCCTGGATGCTTCCTGACCTGCAGTTTGTTGGACATTGCAGGTCTTAATCTTGCTAACTTTAAACTGCAGATAGATAGATAGAAACTTCCCTTTGAGTTTTTCCCTCAGGGAAATTACAGATATTATTATATTCATGTTGTTCTGCATTTCCTCTCTCAGTGTGACCTTCGGTCCACAGGTCCATCATTAACAGAATGAATCAACTTCACATACAAACTTGATATGAGCCCATATCATGTTTGTGTGGTGCACTGCATGAATGTCTCAGATAAGCTCCACTATGTTGCTATGGTGACTCATTTTCCTCCCAGAGGCTGAATCCATTTGAATGATGCTTGGAGCTGCCTGAGGATCAGAGTATTTCATTCTATTGATCCTCTGCAGACAGCTGTATGGGTGTGTGTGCGTGGGTGCGTGTGCGGGTGAGTGTGTGTGTGAGAGGGGATTTCAGTGGTTTTATCGGGCTAGTGGTTGTGATGTATCTCATGGATGACAGTGGTTATAAGACTGAACTGCTTGTTACTCGTAATCTGTAAGTATGATAGAACCCATTGCAGCCTAAGTGAAAGTATATTTTAGTCCTCTACTCCTAAAATGCACCTCGTAAGCTCCATCCTTCCGCTGATAACAGGTTATGGAAGAATATTTATTTTGTTAAGGAGAAATTTGCACAGTTAACTGGACTGTGTATGAACCCAAAATAAGTTTCAGATTTTTCCTTCAAACACATGTAAAGGTGCCCATGGAGTTTTAAAAGATTTCCTTACATTCCCTGTGGAGGCCAGATCACTGGAGGAAGTTAGAGGTGTTCTTTTTTATACAACATGGGCAGTTGTCCTGGACGTTGTTAGAAATGCCACCAATTAATAAAAGAAAAGACAATTTTATCTCTTTTGACCAATCAGCTAATTTTTCTTCCTTTCAAATTTCCTAAGGCTTATAAGTCAGGCAAATGTTAGCAGCCATTATCATACACCCATATCCTCGGTGGGATGGCAGCAATCAACGGGTGATGAGCGGGGTACACCCTGGACAGGACGCCAGTCCATCTCAGGGCAACACAGATAGATCAAACAACCATGCACACACACACTCACACCTAAGGAAAATTTAGAGAAACCAATTAATCTAACAGTCATGTTTTTCTGAGAGAACCAACTGCAATCAAAATCAAGTGCAAATCTGTGAAATTCAAAGATTCAAAGGTTTCAAAGAAAATAAGAGCATTATGATTGTAATAAATATCAAATGGACTTTGAGCTTCAAAGTCTGAATGGCCTCTAAACACACTTTACTGTAAAAATCACATCCTTGGGCGTGATTTTTAGCGCAACCCACATTTGGAGGCCTTGAGTCCTCGACGTGGCCGTCGCAGGTTCGATTCCCAGACCAGACGATATTTGCCACATGTCTTCCCCCCTCTCCGTACCCCCTTCTTGTCAGCCTACTTTCATATAAGGGACACTAGAGCCTGCAAAAAACCCCTGGAGGGGACAAAAAAATCACATGCTTTCTCTCCACAACACTCATAGTGGCATACAGTATTTTTGACAGCTTTTGTCTGCAAATCAACTGCTGTTTTATTTACTATTTTTGTTTAACTGTTTTTTCTGATATATAATTTTTTTCTTGCTAATAAAATTAGTTCATTTTATAGTTCATATTGTTAAAACATTTATTAATTATAACAATAAGTCACACCCTACAAAAAAAATAATCTTGAGGATACAGTGAAGTAGCTTACTACGCTTGCTGAGAATTGTCAGAGGATTTTATTTCAAAAAGTTTCAGCTGAACAACTTGTGACTAAAGTATTTACTGGAACCTGAGTGTAGGTTGGGTCTAATTTTTTTAAAAGCACCTAACCAAGTAAAAGCACCTAACCAATAACTCAGGTATTAATATTGACAGTAGATATAAATGTTAATCAAAGAAGAAGAATGATTCTAACAAAATATGTCTGTCTTTCATCATTTGTTTGGTGATTTGTTATCAGTTTTACTTTCCAGATAATCATTTTTATTCATTAAACATCTGAAAAAAGTTGTTTTAAGCAAAGCTAGCTTTTCTATCAGTAAATTATTATTCATTGAATCTGCCCAGCAGACTGCAAATACTGACTATTTCAGTTTATTAACAATATGTTGCAAAGAATGTGGAATAAAAACAAAACATACACAGTTTTTAAAATCATTCAAACTGTGACAGAACTCCATCCTGATTAAAATCATTTGGATTTTTAAGTAGAATTCATCAGTTTGTAAACAAAACACATTTTGAGTAATTAATAATTTTATTTGAATTGTTATGTGGCTTAAAAGCTCTCTCCAACATCCTATCTTGAGATATTTCACACTGTAAAAAAGGAACCTCAGGGGTTATCACATTAACAAAAGAATATCATGTACTGTTAACTAAATAATTGCATGTTTGAGCCAAAAACATGATACAATCATGTTGCATAAACAAGATATTCCACAACTTCAACGTTTATAAAATTGAATCATGTTGAGCGAACATGATTCATTATAGTCAGACCGATCCTATGCTGAAGACCACGAGTGAGATCACGCGATATCACGCAAGTTCACGCAAGATTACGGGAAATCACGGGATATCACGCGAGAATACGCGAGACAATCGGTTTTTTCTCGCAAATGGAATAAAATGTATTCAAGGTGAGATAACGTGATTCAATTACGTCAGCTAGATCTTGGTGATATATTCATGTCTTTATTTAAACCTCTAACAGCTTCAGTTAGATGTTTAAATGAGATGTTAAACTCCATTTTAGTCATGGCATAATGAAGGGATACTAACAATTTTAAATATCTTTCAAATAGACTGCAAGCCACTGATCACTTTTGTTGTCACTTCCTTTGAATGTAGCTATGTTTTCAAGTGTGTGAACCTATACTGCTGGAGTTTTGAGATTGTTCTCATTGTTTTTGATCTGCATATTTAGGAAGACACTGCTGAGGTCAGACGAGAGTGCATCCTCAAATGTCTGTGTGTACCTAAATGAAGATCCAGAGAAGCTGGTGAGGGAGTACATGGTATGTTAAATTCTCTTTGTGTTTACAATAGAACTCCTAAGAGTTGTTAAAATACTTTCACCAACTAAGGTCCATGAGTGACTCAATCAATGTCAGTCTTAATTTATTTATTTAATTACATGTGAATTGTCTCTCCCCCAATACCCTTCCCTAACTCCCTTAGGACGTTGATGAATGCGCAGAAATGGCCAAAGCCGAGGCTGTCCTCGGAATCGTCATTTGAGCAGAGGGTGCAGAGGCTGCCGATGCACATCTGGATGTTGGGATTGTCCTGGAGGAGGTGGAAGTTATGAACAGCTTGGGCAGTGTATCTTCTGCAATAGTGATGCTGCTGGGACTAATCTATGCACTAAACTTGAGCTACCCTCAAGTTTAGTGCGTTCAGCACTCAACTTGCTCAGTAACTCAAGCATACCTTTGAAGTAATACAGAAAATAATAATGAAATTGGATGGAAAGAACTTATCAAAGAAAGCACAAGTTCTCAATATGAAACTCGCTGCTAAGTTGAGCAAAGTTTCACATGGAAAATGAGTGTTTAAAGTCTGCAGTAGAAAATATTTATATTGTTACAGTTCTCTAAGTTGAGCAACTATACTGACATGTTTTATGTTGTAAAGAATTGGCTGGGAAATGAAACTGTAACCTTTTTGTAGTTGTTTTTTATTTCAATGTCCAACTCAGCTGTGTTTTGTGCTGTGTAAAAAAAACGATGTATAACAATTCTGAAAATACAATTGTGTTGTACCTTTTCTAATTGTTGAGTGTTCTTCCTACACTTTCACCTAGTGCTATCTTAAAATGCTTGATTAACGCTTGAAAATATGTCTTTGAATTAACGTCATGAAATAATGGAAAGGATTTCCACACGATTAACTAGCTGTCTTTTAGCATGAAGCATATTTGTTGAGCTAACTTACTTTTAGTGAGTTGGACCTACTGAATCAGGTAGTGTGAAGGCACTACTGTAAAATAAGGTGGTTTCAACTAGATTTATATTCATCTTAATGAAGTTACATCAATGATTTGGTCCTAAACATTGCAGATTAGTTGGGCGGGCTGTATTGCATTACACTGGGTCACACTATAGTAACTGAGTTAAAGGAACCTTTAAAACATACGTTGAGCCAACACATTTCATTTGAATTTGAATAACCTTAATGAATGGAGTTGAGCCAACTCATTTGATTTACAATCATCCATTGCATTACCATAATTCTGGTTAAGCCAACTATTTGGTTTAAATTAGAACAACCTTAATGAATTATGTTTTGCTAACTCATTTAATTTATATAAGAATAACCACAATATAATACGTTGAGCCAACATGTTTGATTTAGAATCACCCATTGAATCACCATTGTGACAAGTTGAGCCAACACATTTGCTTTACATTGGAATAATCTTAATAAATTAGGTTGACCTAACACATTTGCTTTAAATAGGAGTAACACAAGTACATGGTGCTGAAATAAAGCAAAGTAATCAGGTGGAAATCCTTTCCATAATTTTTTTATGTTCATCCAATGACTTATTTTTTTCAGTGTAAGTTGAGCAACTATACTGACATGTTTTATGTTGTAAAGAATTGGCTGGGAAATGAAACTGTAACCTTTTTGTAGTTGTTTTTTTATTTCAATGTCCAACTCAGCTGTGTTTTGTGCTGTGTAAAAAAACGATGTATAACAATTCTGAAAATACAATTGTGTTGTACCTTTTCTAATTGTTGAGTGTTCTTCCTACACTTTCACCTAGTGCTATCTTAAAATGCTTGATTAACGCTTGAAAATATGTCTTTGAATTAACGTCATAAAATAATGGAAAGGATTTCCACACGATTAACTAGCTGTCTTTTAGCATGAAGCATATTTGTTGAGCTAACTTGCTTTTAGTGAGTTGGACCTACTGAATCAGGTAGTGTGAAGGTACCACTGTAAAATAAGGTGGTTTCAACTAGATTTACATTCATCTTAATGAAGTTACATCAATGATTTGGTCCTAAACATTGCAGATTAGTTGGGCGGGCTGTATTGCACTACACTGGGTCATGCTATAGTAACTGAGTTAAAGGAACCTTTAAAACATATGTTGAGCCAACACATTTCATTTGAATTTGAATAACCTTAATGAATGGAGTTGAGCCAACTCATTTGATTTACAATCATCCATTGCCTTACCATAATTCTGGTTAAGCCAACATATTTGGTTTAAATTAGAACAACCTTAATGAATTATGTTTTGCTAACTCATTTAATTTATATAAGAATAACCACAATATATTACGTTGAGCCAACATGTTTGATTTAGAATCACCCATTGAATCACCATTGTAACAAGTGGAGCCCAACACATTTGCTTTACATTGGAATAATCTTAATAAATTAGGTTGACCTAACACATTTGCTTTAAATAGGAGTAACACAAGTACATGGTGCTGAAATAAAGCAAAGTAATCAGGTGGAAATCCTTTCCATAATTTTTTTATGTTCATCCAATGACTTATTTTTTTCAGTGTTGATAAGGTGAACCTGTGAGTAGGAGACCAGGTCTATTGGCCGAGCTTAAAAACAATCAATAATTATTGGTTATTTGCTGTGATGTATTTGTGAACAAACTCAATTTAAACACAAAGATTACACCACATTGTAGCCATGGTAACACAACAATCAAACTAACAAGGTGATTCTTTAAACTTTTCAAAGTAAACTCCCTAATTAAATCCTAAATGTATTTTTTTTCTAAGCTGAATCCAGTAAATAAAATTTTATAACATTGTCATTCTCTATAAATGATGTCACAGGGGCCCCCTGGATGTCTGGAGGCCCCGGAATGGCCCCTACCAGCAACAGTCTTATAATTCTATGGCGCAGAGGTGCTAACATCAAACTATCATATGGCATTAACCCCTTTGAGCTTTTTGATCTATAAATCAGTCTGCAGCCAAGTTCTAGAGGTTAAATAGATATTATAGGGCTTAATTAGTAAAATGGCAGCAATTTTTTTTTTTCATAACTTCATGACCAGGGACCTGCTCTCTTCTGGTCTGTTTAACATCTATAGTCTCAGATCAACTCAGCCCTCCGGGACTGTTAGCAGACACAGCAACATCATTCCTGTTGGGGAAAATATACTACATTTGCTTTACATTGTCCCCGCATGATGCAAATGATACAGTATGATCCAATTGGATTCTTGATTAATATGGGTGGCTGTTGTGTTGTTGTACAGTGTTTTTGTCAATGTGCCCCTTTTTAAAATTTGAGCCCCTGCCCCTCCAAAGGCCACTGCACAGCCTTGCTGAAGGTAAACACCCACTGTCAGTCAGGAAGAGGATGAGACGTCCTCCAACTCAGAGGCTTCATGAAGAACCACAGTGATGGTACAGTGACAGACAGTTCACCAACATCTGACAACACATTGAAATATATTATGAATGTGTGGCGCCAACATGCGACAATTCTGACATTACAAGTTTTTGCAACACCTTGGCAAAAATGAGAGCATATTCGGCACTGTATTACAGTTATAGTAGTTAAAAAAATCATCGTTGGCTCACCCTGCAATGTCTGGGCCACCTGCTGTGATCCCGCACATTTGCAGCATTCCTCCCACTGCACATTTTCTTCAAATTTCGGAAAAATCACAGTCTATAAAAAAATTGCTCCGCTCGTTCTTCTCATTTTGTCCCGGAAAAACAACAACTCGCGTTAGGCGAATAGTAACGAAGCACAGCACATGGCACCCCCCTCTCCGCCAGAAGGCGGCACTCTGCTGCATTTTCCGGGTCTGTGGAAACGCTTTCACTCTGAAGTAGAGCGGAACCCACCCCGGCCTGAGGAGAAGGGCTGCTGAAGTAGACCACAGGTTTCCTCCCTCTTTTTGAGCAAACACATACTTCCTACCATGCAGTTTTCACAGAAATGCAACAGAAACATGTTTCAGAACAGTGATATTAAAAGTTTGGACTAGAAACCTGCTTGACAGGAGAAAAAATTAATAAGTTTACAATCTCAATAAAAAAGTTGTGGATGAACAAAATAAAATTATGTTTTTATGAAAATCAGTTTTCTATGACACAGTGTTGTATTATATTGGGTAATTATATATCTTATGTTATATTAGTTATAAGATATCTTTTGCAAAACATTTTGTTAGTTAATGATGTAATCAGTTTTAATCACAGATTAACTTAATCAGTTTAATAAAAACTTTCAAAATCTTCACATACCTCAAACAGAAGGAGTATCTTATAGCATTAAATTTACAAAAATGACAAAAATTTCTGCTTTAGTTTTCTATCACCCACCTGAGCCTTTTTAAGTGAGTGATGGTGTATTTCAGCAGTAGAGATTGAATTAACCACCTACAGTAAAACCGGCAGGTCTTTTTCAAAAGCCTTCATTTAACACCTATCCCTTCATATTCTTGATCCTGTGCTTACATTTTGGTGCAAACAATCTGGGTTACAACTAAGTGTTATTATAGATGTCAGAGTGGAACACAAACAAATAATTGTATTTTCTCATGACTCTGAGTTTAATCTAACAGGCTTCACCTCCCTTAAGAAAATGTTTCATTTTGGTAGATCTTTATTAAACAAGACTGGGACTGCTTCTAGAAGGTTTCTTTCTTCAGAATGAAGCAACAGTACAGAAGAGAAGAGCAACATTATTTCTACCCCATCATAAATTAAATATTTTTTGACACTGTTATAACTTTTGTGTTTGTAGCCGTAGACAATGATTCTCACCTTAAAAGAAGAAAATAGGAGGCTGATATTTTTGTCTAATTCAGAGAAAGATAGACAAATGTCGTCCTCGCCACTAGCATGTTGGATAAAAATGGTGTCCCACATATCTTACAAAGCTAGAGCAGTATGAATGAATACAAATGTTTAGAACAAGTGCCATTCTAGGATTCTTTTACAGTGCAGAAGCTAGACTGATACCAAGTCATAGCCACATAGCTGTATATTACTTTACAACACAATAGTAAAAAATTCAAATTGCCCATAAATAACATTGAAATAATCCATGAATGCGTAAGCTTTTTTCTGGGTACCCCTGCTTCCTACTACAATCCAAAAACATAACTGATGGTATATGCGCGTGTAGGTGAGTGTGTGTGTGTGTGTGGGTGGGGGTGTGTGTGTGTGGGGGTGTAAACCACTTTTGGGTCTGTTTGGCGAAAATGTCTGGCTGAACCACATATACCTGTATGGGTGTGTGTGGGGGGGGTGGGGCAGGGGGGGGGTGTGTGTGTGTGTGTGTGTGTGTGTGTGTGTGTGGGTGGGTGTGTGTGTGTGTGTGTGTGTGTGTGTGTGTGTGTGTGTGTCGGTGGTGGGTGTGTGGGTGTGTGTGTGCATGTCTGTTTGTCCTGTGTGTCTCTGTGTTGCCCAGTGATGGACTGCCAACCTGTCCAGGTGTCCCCTGTCTCATGTGCAATGATCGCAGGAGACAGATACCAACCCACCAGCTTAAACAAAGGACATTTTAGATAACTAAATCTATCCACCACTTTGGACAAAGGCAAAACTGGGCATGCACAATGAAATCACACAAACTTCAGTATATCCAGAAAAGCTCTGGCTTGGAGTTGAACTCAGGATCTCCTCGGAGTAGTACAAAAACTTTGCCAAAAGTAGTAAACAAACCACCCAGGTTAGGCAAACCTAAAACCTTAAACCTAGATATAGGTTCATGGACCCCAGCAAACTTTGAATCTTTGCAACATTTTTTTAAATTTTCTTTTAGATTAATTTATGCTCAGCTATTAACAGCAAAGTCAACCAACTCTTGAGGAATTTGCCGAACATGCAAGTTGGCTTCTCGTAGGTGGTTACAGACAGTCTGAGGTGTGATGCGTCTTTTGTACAGACCAATAGTCTCATCAGCAGTGTGTGTTGCTGGTCCACATGTGGCAATCTTGTGCTAGAGTAATCACGCGAGGCCAATAAGGATGAGGTCGATTTGCAGTTATGTCAATCTGTTGGAGACTAACTCTTCAACAGCCTGTCCATTATTGCACACCTCAATGTCCAATAATGGACATCCAAAAACATAACTGATGTTTACATGTTATGTTGTTTACATGTTATGTTGTTGATTGTTTAATGTTGGATGAAGAAATATGTTTAATTTTGTGGGGTTGAGCGTAGTTTAACCCCCTCCCATGAATGTCCAATAATGGACATTGAGCTGTGCAGCGACTGCTCTTGTGGACATCCCTGCATTCAACATGCTAATGGCACACTCCCACATAACTTGCAACATCTGAGGCATTGTGACTTGTGAAATGTGACATTTTGGGTAGCCTTTTATTGTCCCCAGTCCAAGGATTGTCCTGCTGTTGCTCATTTTGTCTGATTCCCCCACTGGACATGTCTCACCCATGCACTGAGTAAAAAAAAAGAAAAAAACTCGCTGAGTAATGTTCACTGACTCAAGTTGGAGTAAAAATTATACATAAATCAAGAGAAATATTACTTTTGTACAATAAAATGTCAGCAGTTGTTAACTCCACATGGCAACAATATTTTTTTCAGTATAGTTTGCTCAAGCAACAGATCCACCTGTGACTGAAGTCGGCGGTTCATTGGGATGAACCGCCGACTAATGTGTTTTAATCTGGCTTTCATCTGAAAAGAAAACAATTGAATGACATTGATAGAAGAGAGATTTCCATTACTTTCAGTAATTTCATTAACTTAGTTAAATTCATTAT